GCCTCTTGTCCCTCTGCAAGTCACCCACAGTGTAGTGCTTCAGCTCCTGTCCCTCTTCCTGTGTGTCCCCATCCTCATGTGGGATCCCAGACTCCAGAGTGCTGTCTTCTCCCTTGTTTCTTTGTCCTGCTACCAAGATCCTGCCTCCTTCTCTGCCAGTAAAATTCTTTCTTATGCTTTTGTCCTCACAGGACTTGTGGGCCTGGCACTCTCATATGCCCTGTCTGTCACAAACCTGCTCTCAGGCCTCATTTCCAGCTTCACTCTGACAGAGACCATGATGGTGAGTGTGGAGCGGACAGAGGAATACACCACAGACATCCCCACGGAGCCCCAGGATAAACTGGTCCAGGTAGAAGCTCAAATAATGTTCTCAGGGACTGGCCCATCTTCTGGCTCTGTGCCCTGAACTTGCCTCCTGGGGAGATCACAGGGTTCTGGTGAATGGGTAGAAGGCCCTCACCCACAGAATCCACTTTGTTTGTTCATCCTTTACCAGTACAGCCCCTGGGGGAGGATGAATCTCTGGCAGGAGTTGGTGAAGGTTGGAATGACAGGAAGGGGTAGGAGAGCAGAACAGGTGCTAGGTCCAAGCTGTGAGACAAAACCAAGCCTAGGAGGGGTCCTCCAGAGTTGGAGCTGGGCTGTGCATTGGATCTGCTCAGGAGCCAAGCAATCATCCAAAGAGATGGATGGGCTTGGCCTGTGGGGCAGTGAGGCTGAAGATGACAGCGGGTCGTGGTCATACCTTGTCTCACCTGCGTGTCCTTCTTAGGTTGCTGCTGACTGGCCAAGCCAGGGGCTTGTGGAGTTCCAGCACGTTGTCCTGGCCTACAGAGCGGGCTTGCCTAATGCACTTGATGGTGTGAGCTTCACTGTTTATCCTGGAGAGAAGGTGGGGATTGTGGGTCGCACAGGATCTGGAAAATCCACCCTTTTCTTGGCCCTTTTCCGCATGCTTGAGCTGAAATCAGGCCGGATTCTCCTGGATGGTGTTGACAGCCAGCTGGTGGGCTTGGAGGACCTGAGGTATGGAGGGCTGAGCAGAGTGGTGGGTAGCTGGCAGGGCCTGGAGGCTGAGAGCTCTCACTGGTTGGATGCCAAAGGGAAGAGTGCGGAGCAAAGGACTTACTGTTGTAGCACCCTATTGTCTGATTGTGGAAGCTTCTTATGAGTTGTGCTGTTGTTCCTGAACAGCTGTGCTAAGGAAACCAGGCTGAATATGTGACCCATGTCTCTGTGCCTCTAAGATATGCAGCAAGCCAATACACCCCACCCCAGAAAAAAAAAAAAAAAAAAAAAAAAAAAAAAAAAGCAGTTGCTTTTCTGCAGAACCCACCCCATGAGTCCTCAGCTTTTGTCTGCTTGCAGATCTAGGCTGGCCATCATCCCCCAGGATCCGTTTTTGTTCAGTGGCTCAATTCGAGAGAACCTGGACCCCCAGGGAAAACGTACAGATGCTGAGCTCCTCGAGGTGCTAGAGCAGTGCCACCTGCGGGATGCTGTTACTCAGATGGGTGAGTCTGAACCCAGTGAGAAGCAGCTGGTGAGCCCTGGTACTGGGGGAGGGAAGAAGGTCCCACTCAGGGAGCTGAGGAAAAGGGGCCAGATGGATGCAGTAGGGAATTGGTTCAGTGAGGCCATACTAGGGACCAGGGTGGGAACAGGTCAGTGAGACCCATTGGCATCCTTTTGGATTTAGTGGCAAGGGACTGGCAGGTGATGGATTGGGTAGCAGGATATTGCTGATGAGACCAGCCCCAGTGGGTGTTCGAGCAGATCCCGAGAGAGATAAGCCAGCCCCTAGTTCTAGGGGAATGTGTGCTGGATGTGGCTTGCATCCAGGCGTAAAGACTCTGGTTCCCAAGGCCTGAGATTTTGAGTGCTACTGGGAAAACCCCAGACTGCGGGAGCTGCCTGGGGCTGGTACAGAGCCTGGTGGGGTGACTGCTGAGTTTGACCCCTGCAGGTGGATTGGACAGCGAGCTGGGAGAGAGGGGAAAGAGTCTGTCCCTGGGCCAGAGACAGCTGGTGTGTCTGGCAAGAGCCCTCCTGACGCAGGCTAAGGTGAGTGCCCTGCCTCCATTGGACCAAGAGGGAGGACGGGCTGCTGACGGCTGTGTTGGGACAGCAGGACAGAGTGCTCCGGAGTTGGGGGTGTGATGGGAACAGATGGCTTGTGCCACCTTCTTGGGCTGTCTCCAGGCAGGGATTGGGATCTTCCTTGTGGTGCTGGGGAGCTCCCTTCATTCTCTGTCCCTGGCAGGTGCTGTGCATCGATGAGGCCACAGCCAGCGTGGATCAGAAGACAGACCAGCTGCTGCAGCAGACTATCCGCCAGCGCTTCGCTGACAAAACTGTTTTGACAATTGCTCACAGGTATGGAGAAAGCCGTGCTCTGTGCCTCATTTCATCCCACCGCTCACGCTCACAAGGGAGCAGTGGCTGTACCTGCCATGCCTGGGCCTTGAGCTGAGCAGGGAGGTCTAGTGATGAGGCTTTTCAAGTGCAAAAGGCAGGACCTTGCCTATTTGCCTTTTCTGCTTTATTAATCCCTGGGTGCTGGGAACAACTGGATGTGAAAACATTGTACCCAGAAACTGGGAGAGAGCAAAGGGCTAAACGCTGCATCATATGGCAGATGGCTCTTCCTGGCCACCGCTTAGTGGGACCGGGGGAGTGAACTGGACCTTGTGGTTCTGCCAAGTTAGGGCAAGAGCAATGGAGAACTATCCTACAGAAAGGAGCAGTGTGGTGATGGGGGAGGAGCGGGTGCCGCTGGCTCAGTAGAGGGCACTGCAGGACAGCCGGAGGCCGAGGGCTGCAACCAACTCCTGACCAGGGGAGGCAGAACGCTGGGTAGCTCCGTTTTCCAAAAACTTGAGTTTTGGTCCCAGCCTGCACCCAATGCCAGCAAGCTAGACCGGCCAGGCAGGACTGGGCAACAGTGCTTGCTTTAGAGTTGAGAGGTTTAGTGTAGGAGTACGGGCAGTAGATGGTTACGGGCAGAGGGAGGAGGGAAAAACATGAATGCTGTGGATACTGAGGACAGGTTAGCATTGGGCAGTGCTCCCACTCTTGCTAAGTGGAGGATAATTTGGAGGAGGGTTAGGCACTTGCATGGAGGATGTTTTCAAAGCACAAAGGTTACCACAAAAATAATAATCAAACTAGCAGGTGGCAGGGGCTGGTGTCCTGCTGCACAGAAGTGGGAGTGGCAGATGACAGACAGGGTGGGCTGGGCCTGGCAAGTTAATCAAATGAGTCTTGTTCAATACATCAGATAGGAGGGAGCCAGGACGGGTGTGAAGGGAGTGTGGTTCCTACACTGGGCATATTATGTATAAATAGAGTAGAAAGGTGAGGGCACTGTGGGCTGTGTGTTTTGCATAGGGCCCTCGAGGCCACCTCTGATGGATGAGTAATTGGAGAGGAGAACCAGCAGAGGAGGGAGTGGCAAAACACAAGGCAACAAGACTGGGCAACAAGATGGCCCCAACCCTTCTTCCACTGGGATGAAGGGAGGTGGGGGAGAACAGTAAGGAGGGAGAGGTGGTGATGGTGTTGTTTTGTACCCATGGTTCTTCCATGTCATTGAGCTTCAGGTGAACCATTAATTGGATGGGTGAAATCTAGGATGGAAAGTGACTCAGTACTTGTCCCTTGCCCTTCCAGGTCACTTCGAGTGCAGCAGCCTGGCACTCTTGGGGATGAATGTGTAACCAGAGTCCTGAACTCCATAACACTTTTTACCTGTTCAAATCCTTTGCAGTGTCTTCCCTGGACTTGCAGCTTTGTAGGGCTGTAGTTTTGCACTGAACAGTACATGGCTGTGCAAAGGCATTCCTGCTGTCCTGTCTTCCCTCCCCAGGGCCAGAGGTTGCTGCCCTGCTAGCAGTCTGGGCAGAACTCGGGGCATACATGTGCTGTGGTTGGCAGTCTGGCAACTACAAATTTCCTGGTGGTGGCAGCATAAGCAATAATGCCAGACTTCTGGGGATGGCAGCTGGGGCACAAGTCCATTTCTGCTGCCCCCAGGAGGTGGCAGTTGAGGAAATGTAGAGGCAAACAGAAGCAACTCAGTAATACTTCTGTGGGAACAGAGACATCTTGTGCAAGCCCAGATCAGGCGTGCCCCGAGATCTCCCTCCAAAGAGCTTCCTTCTGCGCTCCTGGTGCCCTGCCATGCGCAGCAACTGGAAGTCATCACTGCACTCTCCTGAGAGGTGGTGCATTTCACAGTGTGCAGAGGCTCTCTGAGGAGCTAGACTGCAGTGTGCCCAAGGGTACAAGGAGATGCTCCACAGATCCTTATGTTGGGTGTGTCTTGAGGCACCCCTTGACAGCAGGGGAAGCAGTATCCAGGGTTTCTTCTCAGATCCACCAACACGTGTCCTGGCGTTTGCTGTCCACAGGCTGAACACCATCTTGGACTCAGACCGCGTGCTGGTGATGCAAGCTGGGAGAGTGGCAGAGCTGGATTCACCCACCTGTCTAAGCCAGAAAGATGGCTCCTTGTTCCAGCGCCTCCTGCACAGTGGGCAGCAGTGACCTCCTTCCTGGGCTGAGCCCAGGCAGCCCTCCTGGCTCTGTGCCTGATTTTCCTCTCGCCTCAGACACCAGCCCTGTCCCTGCAGGACCAGGATCTGCTGCGGTGAGGGAAGGGTTTATTCCCACCTGCAGTCAGCAATTGTGGGTCCTCAGGGATGGGAGCATGGAACTGCAGCCTTTCCTTTAGTAGGGAAGATGGGACCTGGTATTTAGGGCCATGCAAGCCTGGCTGGTGGGATACTTCTCCCCTCCAAGGCTCCCCTTTGAGATTACAGAGGAATTTTCTGCCCACTGAAAAATCAGTGACTCCTAGTCTGAGACTTAGTCTCACATGTGTAATTTAAAATAAAGTGGAAACATCCTTGTGAAGTTCCATTTTTCAGGTCCCTGTCCCCTTTTTCCCCTAGAGAGAGAGTTCCTTGTGAGATACCAGAGTGGTACTCTCTCTGCACAAAGACAACCCTACCCGCTCCCTACTGCTTTCAGAGGGCAGACCTTTCCAATCCCTGAAAGCTGCACTCAAGCACCTTGCTGCTTTTCCTCCAGTTTATAGTAGAGAAGGCCTTCCCCTGAAGGGCCAGAATGGGATTACATTAAAGGCCTCTAAGGCTAGTTCTTTCAAGACCACTTTTCCAAGGGAAATTCCCTATCCCTCCTGCCCTGCTCCCAGCTGCACAAACCCATGGCAGCTTTCAGTTTTAGGATCAGATTGCTCTTCCTGTTGGCATCCTTGGACTCAAGTGTTGGGTTTTCCCCTTCTCCCCAACACTCTAAGGCAAGGCCAAGCAGGCACACACCTTTGCTATGCTGTCCTGCGGCAGGTCTCGTTCTTCCTTCTGTGGGAGCCATCTCCACCCCTGCAGCCAGTGTATGGGGCAGGACAACTGTGCCACTCTCTGGGTTTGCATTTTTGAGGGAAGTGATGGAGATACTCATCCAGAACAAGGAGCTGAGCAACCTGATCTAACTGGACCTGCTGAGAGCAGGAGGTTGGTGTCCAGAGGTCCCTTGCAACCTGAATTATTTTACAATTCTCTGATACACTGTTTCTGGGCTTGTGTTTGTTTTATTTGATAAAGGTACATCATCCATCCATGTATTAGAAAAATAATCTTTCTGGTGAAGCCCCAGTCCCCTCTCCCAGGTCTCCCTCCTGTCTGAGTGCTCACTCTGTCTGCAACCCTTCAGGCCAATAGTAGGGTTTGGGTTGTGGGGTTTTTTACCCCTCTGCTTAGCTCTCCATGCCCAGGAGGAGGCACAGAAAATCCTGGCCTGGGTAGAGAGATGCTGATTGTTGCACAGCGGACCAGCACAGGCAGGAGCAGACCTAGCACAAAGGCCGGGTGGCCTGGCCACCTGCTGCCTCTTAGCCATGTTTTAGCAATGGTGGAGAAAGCAGTATCATATCTGCTTCCTGTGGTCGTGCCAGGCTTGACAGCCTGTCCTCACATCCACTGTGGGGACCTTAACCTTTGTTGTATCAAGAAACACTACAATGGCTGATTTGAGGTTAGCGCCAGCTGCCTGCCTTGGAGTGACTGGAAGAGGAAAGGAGAATCTGGATCTTGTATTGCTCCTGAACCAGCCACAGCACATCTCCAGTCTCATCTGTCTCCAGTTTCACCTGCGAGAGCATATGAGAAGGACGAGCTCAGGCCCAGAGGACCCCAGAGGGGCGCAGGCCATGCTCCTCCTCGTCAGCAAATGGGCTGTGGGACTTCCTCAGCAAATGGTGAGGCAGAAGTGCACACTGGAGAGGGGAAGGAGCTTGGTCATTTGTGGCCAGACCAGAAAGGACAGCTCAGTAAGTAGGGGGAGAAGATCATCAGGAGGAAAGTACAGAATGTGTTTGTAACCCCAGTCTGACAACAAGAAGAGGGGGCATCACCAGGGCAGAAGGGCACAAGGAGACTCCAAATGATCTCCAGAGTGTCTTTGAACTGGCTCACAGAACCACAAAGCCAGGGAACAAATGTGTTTGCTCTCTCTCTAGGGACATGGCATGTGAAACAACAGCCTCCAGAAACAGTCGGGTGCCGCCCCATCCAGTACAGGGGCAGGGAGGCCTGCGCAGCCACGACTGTCTCGAGAGCCCCAGAAGAAACATCCCAAAACCAGCAGAAATGAGGACAAAGCCCCTTCCAGTAGTCACAGAGAGGAGTTACAAAGGGCCTGGCAGAATTTGGGCTTGCAAGAGGGCTGTGCCCTCCTCTGGCACTACCCATCCCATTTCTGAGAGCTCACGTTGGGCGATACCAGCACTGCGTGGCATGGGCTGCCACAGGTGGCACGTTGCCACTTCCCCAGGGGCTGCCCCAACACAGCCCGGCTTTCAGATGCCCATGGGTGCCGGCTGTGCCGGCTGGACGGGAGGCAGCACAGACCCAGGCAGGGCCATCACACCCAGGCTTGACACCCAGGGGTTTTGTTGATGCATTCACTGCCCTGGGAGCCCTTCCCCGCTGCCCAGCTTGTGCTGGGGTGGCTCCCCAGGCTGCAGTTCGGGGGGGTTTGCCAGCACGATGACCTGCCAGGGCCCAGCTCAGAGTCCTCGCAGGTCACAGCTCCGTTGTCTTCCTGGGCTCGATCAGGATGGTGTTGAGCATGCCCACCTGACACTCCTGGTCTTGGAGCTTCCTTGCAGCCTGAGAAGGGCTTTGGCACCAGTTTGACCTCTGACGGCCTCTCTGCCAGTTCCTCAGCATTAGCAGGACGGTGATGAGGACCAGCACTGCCGTCAGCACCCCGAACACCAGCACTGTCACTAGCTGGGCTTCGCTCAGCCCCGAGTCCCTTTGGGTCACCACCTCCTTCACAGAGATTTTCAACAACCCTCCCCCCGGCTCCTTCTCACTGTGGTTGGCCATGCGCCGCCCTGTGACCGCAGTCCTGACAGGCTCTGGCTGCGTTACCCCTGGCATCTCGCTGGTGGTGCTTTTCACACCCCCACCGTTCTCATGGTTCAGAAGGTGGTAGGGGGGAGCCCAGGTGGGCTCAGGGATGGAGATCTCACAGGTTTTGCCAGTGAAACGGTCGGGACACAAACAGTCATAGTCATTGATGCGGTCATAACACTTTGCCCCATTTTTGCATGGCTGGCTGGCGCAGTCGTTGATGTTGATGGTGCAGAAACGCCCTTCGAAGCCTACCTGGCACTGGCAGGAGAAGCGGTTGATCCCGTCATGGCAGGTGGCACCGTTGGCACAGGGACGCATCAGGCAGTCGTCCACGTTGTTCTCACAGAGAGCCCCCACGAAGCCAGCGAGGCACCGGCAGGTGAAGTTGCTGGCAAAGCCGTTTTCATCTTGACACTGTCCCCCATTCTTGCACGGAGACCTGCGTGGAAAGAGCAAGGACAGGTCATAGCCCTGGAGAGCAAGTAGCTTCCCCTGCCCCACGGGGGTAAACACAGCTGCTCCCGTAGCCAGTGAGTTCGGCACCAGCTCTCTGCATGGGGGCAGCTACCTCCAGAAGACCAGGCAGGAGTTTCTGCCTCCCCGAGTGAGAGGCTGTGGGACCTCCTCAAAGGCTGTGGCTGTGCATGGGCCCACCACCCACCAGGGAGGGTCTCTGACCAAATGATCTGAAGAGGAAATGTGCCCTACTGATGATCCCCCAGAGGCATGACGGGTGTCAGCTCATCACACCTACAGCAGTGAGGGACGGGAATCTGTTCAAATCACAACATAGACCTTGCCCCGGTGGGACTGTGCGGTGCACAAAGCTAAACCAAAGCCAAAGATGGTTTTGGCTTAGCTCCATTAGCGCATGGAAATCCACAGATAACGAGCCAAGCTGGGCCACTGCTTGGCAGTGCATGACCGAAAGCTAATGCTGTCTGTAATCTTGCTGCCCTCGCTGCCATGTCTCACCCTGCCTTCTCACATGGCCCCGTCTTCATCTCACAGTCCCTCCCGTGGAAGCCTTCTGGACATAGACAGGAATATTCCCCATCTCGATCATAGATGCACTGACCCCCGTTCTGGCATGGGGATTGGTGTTTGCAGATGTGTATGTCTGAAGGGAAAGAAAAAGGTGGGAATTAGTGAGAAAAGAGGGACATTGTGGCCAATTCAGTTTGAACACAGCCCATCAAACCCAGTGGGCATGCAGAAATGATCAGAGCATCTCCCTCCTCCCTTCCAACGGGCACCTGCAGCAATAGAAGTGCAGCATCTATGTAGTGCCTCCCAGCTACAGCCTTCAAAATGCACAGGCTTAGGGGTGCAGAGGAAGCAAATTGTCCTGCAAATCTGTGTGAAGGTTCTGTGCATGCCGTCTGGCTGGCCAGTACAGACCTTGTGGCACAGAGGAGCCTCTGAGGTCTGAGGAGAGGAGTCCAGCACCCACCTGCCAAAGGCAGGAAGCCCTGGGGGAAGCAGGAGGTGCTGCCCAGAGCCCAGCTGCGGCATGGGAAAGGCAGTGAGCTTATCTGCTCCATTTCCTGAGGCTGGCCAGTGTGGTGGCAGCTCTTGCCATGCAGACAGGGAGCAGGTGCTGGCAGCCTGACTTACTTTGCAGGAAGGGGACAGTCCCAGGCATGGCAGCCAGGCAACATCCCATCTCCTGGACAGCCCAAGTAGCATCACCCAGCTGGCTTCTGGCTATGCTGGCTCACCCGCCCATACAGGTGTGCTAGGCTTCTGGCCTTAGCACCGGAGGCTGGGATGTCCAGCCCACGACTCACTCACCTTTGTCGCAGAACTTGCCGGCCCAGCCAGCGTGACAGATGCACTGCCAAGGCTGGTGGCATGTCCCATGGAGACACCCCGGCATACGCACACACTCCTCGCAGTACTCGCCCTCCCAGCCTGGATCACACCTGCAGGAGGACAGTACATGGCAGCATGATAAAAACCAAGCAGGGGCTGCAGAAAAGCTGGCTGCCTGCCATGCAGGGTTCCCACAGATACAGCAGCACTGGGAAACTCTCCCAAAGCCCCCCATTAACCTGCTGGCACCTCCTCCAGAGGAGGTCAGTATTGACCTCATCTTTCCAAGGAAGCAAGCAGACAGAGTGGGAGCAGACTCACCCTCTGCAGCCAGGGAGAGTGAGGGAGCAGAAACAGAGCTCGGCAGCTTCAGTTTTAATGCCCACATCCCACTGCTCTCCTCCAGCCAACCGCTCTATATACACCACTGCATTAGCTCAGCAACTCCTGCACCTCCCTCACCACACAGCCAGTCTGACAGGCAGAGAAAAGACCCATTCCTAACCCTGAACTCCCCGAGGGAAAGGGACAAGAGGTCCCTGAGGCCTGCATGTCTCATTGCATCCCTTTGCATTATAATGTCATTTTTCATCTGAAGCGCACCATAATCCAGCTGCAAAACCTTGCTTGCCACGGCTGGTGTATGGAATAGACTTATCAGCCAGCTCACAAGGGCAGCACGATGGGAAAACCTGCAGCACACAACAAGCCTTCTGGCCCCAGGAGTGGGGCAGTGGTGATGGCTAAGTAAAGCCAAGCTGTGTTGCTCCAGTGGCCTCCCTCGGACCCGACAGCTCCAAGGGGGAAGGCAAGTGACAACAGTACAAGAGCTGAGTGGAGGTGGCATCAGCTGCAACAAAAGCTGTACTCAAAACAGCACGAAATTAAACCTAACAAAACCAATATGGTCTCTAGAGTAAGCAAGGGGGTTCATTTTCATGGCTGGTGTTCATTTCAGTGCAGTATGTGGTGACTGCAGCTTTGCCAGGCTGGTTCGAGGAGACACTTTCACACCTGGACTGGCTATTGTCACTGTAGGTTTTTCCATGATGAAAATGGTTAAAAAATATATATGTTAATTAGAGGCTTTTTGATGAGAATGGAGGCAATACCATGTGCCCAATAGAGTTTGGGGAAATGCATTCGTACTGGGACAGCCATGAGCTTACAGAGGGCTGTGAGCACCCCTACCCCCCAGTACCCACAGGGGCAGGGAGCAGGCACCATCAACTCTTCCCCTTCTCTAAAAGGGATATGGACAACCTAAAAATTGCCAGGGAGGAAGCCAGGTAAGCGGCTGAGTCTCCCTGAGTTTGAGGTGATTTCAATGGGGTACTGCCAAGCTGCTGAAGGGTTCAGCAAATACTCTGGAGGGCTGAAATCTGGAGCAGCAACTCATGTGTGCCTCCACTGGAAAGACCTGTAGCTGGACCACCTGCCACATGGAGAAGTGCGGTGTCTTTGGCCAGGACTTTGCAGCACCTAGCTCCCCCAGATGCAGCTGCCAAAAAGGCTCAGGGAGGAGAAAGCACTTTGCAACTGCAACCAGGGGCCCAGCAAGACCAGAGCTGGATGCTCCCTGGTGCTCCCTGGTGCGGTTATAGTCACCATCAGGCCATGTCTGCTCCATCAGGTGAGAACAAGTGGCCCAGGCATGGTGTGACACTGGGTGCTGTGCTGCAGAATGGAGCTAAGCATGTCCTGGCGAGGAGAATGGGGTGGCAGTGGGCAGTCAGTCTGTCCCCTTGCAGAAAGTGTCAGTCTGAAGCAGCCTGCTCCTCCTGAGGCTGCCCTGCAGGATGGGGTCTCCTGGTGGCCCTACAGTGGGGCAAGAGGCAGTGTCTGGGGCTATGGCAGCCCAGGGCAGCCACGTGGTTTCTTCCTAGGCTGAAGTGCAGGGTCAGGCTCTGAGCTTTGTCCCTGCAGGATCTGGGGATCACCTGGAGGTGGGATGCCAGGGATCATGCGTGCACATCTGCTGCGGTAGCCCTCAGCTTGCTGGTGAGCCCTTTATGAAAACACCTGCAGATCCCCACCACAGCCCAGGCTTCTGAGAGGGGACCCCTGATGCCCTCAGACATTTATGTGCACGCTGGCAGCTCTTTTCTTCCATGCCCCCAGGGAGAGCATCCCCATCTCAACCAGTGAGGAGGCCAAGCAAGCTGGCTGACCCCCAAGCCTGCTCTGCTGCCTGAAGACCTTCCCCATCATATCGGAACATGAAGGCTGCTACCAATCACCCAGGCATGGCTGGGCTGTCCTAACTCTCATCTAGACAAAAAGGGCTCAGCAGAACAACATCAGTCAGTGTGTGGCAGGGGGGACCCTGGAAGCACTGGAGTAAAGTCTGGAGGGGACCAGCAAGAGGTTGAGGGATCAAAATCTCCCACTCCAGAGGGTGTCAGGTAAAAGGAGAGCAGAATTGTTGATTCCAGGTGTGGGTGAGTGAAGGAGGAGGTGCTTCAACTCAGGGCAAGTGTGTAGGCACCAGGGACACAGTACCAAGGGAGGGAGAGCAGTTATGGTCAGGGGCAGCAGGAGCAGAGAGCCAAGAACAAGCCATACCTGCACTTCCCATCCTGGTCACAGCAGCCGTGGGCGAGATTACAGCGCTCGCTGCAGTCATCACCTACAACGCAGGAGATGGGTGGAGTTGGATTAAGAAGAGACCATAGATGACTCCCTGCTGGCTCACAGCCTTTTTTATTTTCCTAAGCACTCGGCCTGCCCTTCCACAGAACTGTAAGGTGGGGACTTCCCTTTCAATGGCTGGATGCCACATGAGAGATGAGGATTTCTCAGTCACGCAAGCAGTGATAACACTGCCTTTGAGAAACGGGACCCTGCTTCAAAACTACCTGGTCTCTGATCATCTCCCCACTCCCCCTCTGCTGCCTCCCTTAGACTTTGGGCCCTTCTGGGCAAGAGCTGGGGTTGCCTGTGCATTAAGGAAACCTGTGTAATAGGTCCTAATCCACCTGGGACCTTGGTCCCATGGTTGTGCAGCAAGTATGATGGGAAAGCTCAGGGCCAGGTACTGCAAGGAGCACAAAGGGATCAAGGATGGAAATGGAAAGAATGGCTCCTCTCTATCTCCCAGGATGTCCCTTTTCCCAGGAACAACTATTGGCATGGAGCAGCCTGGTCAGGGCTCCTGCCCTCTGCCAGAACCCAGCTGCCAGCATTCTCCCTCCGGCGCGGGGGGGCAGGACTGGGCATCACATGGGGCCAGGTATCCAGTTCTGTTTATTTATTTAAAGGCCACAGAAGCTGTAACTGAGCCATGGCCTCACCATGCCACTTCTCATCCTCTGCTAGGCACTGGCCTGCTTTCTCCAGCCAAGTGTCCCCTTTCATCTCCACCTTTCCCTCTGTCCCATCACTTGCTGGCATCTTAGTCCCAGGGTAACTGGTTTGCTCCAGTTCCATAGGCAGTAGAGCTAGAGCAAATGTCAGGAGGCAGGGGGTTTCTCCAGGAGCCCAGTGTGATCCCAGGCCAGGTCCAGATGAATGCCCTTACCTGACTGAGCCCCTCCACCCTGGACTGGGGCAGGTTAAAACCCCCAAGCCAAGAAGTGCACGCTCAGGCTTTCCCCAAGCTGTGTGATGTTCTGCCTAGGAAGTGAGCATGGGAAGAAATCCCCCATGCATGTATTTTTGCTTCAGTGAGGTGGCAGGTCCCACTGGTCAGGATAAAAGCCTCCCAAAACAAGCCACTGTGGAGCTGGAGCAGCATCCTGGGACTGCTCAGCTCAAGCCTGGGTATCATTGCCTTTCCTATTTGTAATCAACTCTCCTGGCAGATGGCTTTGGGAATTCAATGCTTATCCAGAGCAGAGGGAGAGCAAACTAATCTCTGGGAAGGGATTTTGTCTCATGGGATCCAGGATTCACTGTTCAGCTTTGGGATCTTCCTTCCCCCTCGCCCTGTCTCTCTGAACAGGCTCCTTGATTCAGGCTCCCATTCACCCTGAGAGAGACAGAGCAGTGGGACCTCTCACTGCTGGTCTGCTCAGGCACTGCCACTCCCGTGGGCCCCAGAGCAAGAACCTCTACAGTTGCCACCAGTCACCCCCCAGGTGCTGGAGGACCGAGCAGCATTTTCTGGTCTTCCAGCTCAGGCCAACTCTATTTTGCATGGAAAACTCAGGAGACTTCAGCAACACCAAGGACAGGTTTGGAAAGATGGATATAAAAGAGAAGGACCTGTGCCTACAGACACTCACCTTGGGCAAGCTGGTGATGGGCCAAGAGGATCCAAATCAAGGACATGAGCTGGAGACAGAAGCTCCTGAGCATGGTCAGCGTGGCCCCACCGAGATGAACACCTCCAGAGAGGAAAAGAGCAAGTTCAGAAAAATCCCCTGGCTCACACCGCTGCTTCACTTCACGCATCCCTTCCTCTCTGCTACCTGGGAGTTTTGAGTTGAAACATCCAGTTTTGTACAGACTTGTCACCGCACTCCTCTCTGTCCTTCCAGACTCCTTCCTCTAAGGCAACATTGGAGCACTAAGAATCAAAAAGCCTTTTAAAATGTGTGTAAAGGAGAACTGAGCATTTACACTCAATCCTGAGCATGTAGTAGCTTAGGCTGTTACACCGCATCTTGGAGCACCTGCCCCGGCTAGCTGCTGCCAAAAGAGCAGAAAGCTGCCAGAAATACCAGCCCAGCTATGGGGACCTTCATCTTCCCTCCCTAGGTACGGGGGGGGCTTCCGCTTCATGTTAAGCAAGTTTCCTCCTGCGTATGTTTGAATGAATAGATGGGCTGACGCTTTACGCAGCACCCAGGCTGTTTTTCAAGCCCTTCAGGAGGGCAGGGAGTTGAGTAGATCTAGCAGACGAGCAGTGGTAAACAGCAGCCCTATTTAATTTTCCAAGCAAGGGAGTGAAGCGATAGGCACCAGACCTGGGCTGCAGCCCCAGGTAGCAAAAGCAAACACACAGCCCTCGCTAGGTGTGGTCCTTTTCCTCGGCTGTCCTGCAGAGAGCCCTATCAGCCCAGGGTTCCTGCACCCATCTATTTTGCGACCGCCTTCTGCCCTCTTGAAGTAACATTAAATACTTTCCAAAAACACTTCATTCCCTCCCAGCCTTCTGGGGTTGTTAAGGGCAGGAAATTCGAGGGTGATATCATAAATATATTACTATAATGAGATGGGAGGGGTTAAACAGTTCTGCTAGAAGAGTGGTGAAGGTATGGAGCAGGCTCCATCCAGCTGCGTGGGTGTGATGGACAGGGGCCATTCCACTTTCAGCTTGACTCTCTAGCTCGGGAAGGTTGTGCTGGGTCAACAGTTGCATGAAAGACGTACAGATGGGGACAGAAGTCCTCCCACCCAC